CAGCAGCACAATTTGTGCTAAATCTTGAAAACAACACAAATGTCCATCAGCGAGGAATGAATAAAAAAAGATGTGTTATTGTTATACCGTGGAGTACTACTCAGCTGTAAAGAATGATAAACATAAGACCTTTATAGGTAAATACATGCAAGTAGACCCCATTTTCATAAGTGAAATAAACCAAACGTATATGTATAAACATCATCTCAAGAAACTGAAAGAGTAAACAGCATACAAAATCTTCAATTGAGACATTGAGAAAAGGAAAGACACTGTTCAAAATGAAAGAACACCCGGGATGGGGGAAAAGAGGAAAAAAGGACGGGAAAATTTTAAAAAATACATATATATGAAGATCTTCATATATATGATAGCTAATGTAAGTATATTACTAATTTGTTTTAGTCCATTGAAAAGATCAGTTTGTGTTTATATTAGCTGATTAATTTTGCATGTCTGCATCTTGTAATCTGAGCAACTACTTTGAAGACAATTTGCAACACATTAATCATTGTCAATTTGGGATTATCCTGTTTTGAAACTCTGTGTCACTGTTTTTATTTTTTTATCTTTCTCTTATTGAAAAAAAGTACATTAAATCATGGGTGATTTTTGTTTTCACAGAAATTATAAGAAAGCCCTTATGTAAGTAACAAGTGTTAAATTTCAGGAGCAAATAAATATTCATTGATTATAAAAATTTTAAACCCCACAAGTATTGTAAAGCCTTCTCCGTGTTACATAAGGGAAGGAATTGTCTTGCTGTGCTCACAGAAAGGGCCCTGGAAGTTTGAGAAGCTCTTGCTATTTTTATGCTCAATGTAAAAAAAAAAAAAAAAGAAACCCAGGATATTATACTTGCTAAGCATATGTTCACCACTGAACTATGCTCCCAACTTCTCAGTAAATATTTTTAAAAAGTACTTACCTGGTTCACACAAACTTCTATTTCCTTGTCTCTCTGAGTTCTAGCTTTGACATTTTGATATACTAATTGAGAACTAATCAGACCAGTTTTCTAGTTCACTGTAACTCAGACATTTCACTCTAGTTAGATCTCCCCATTTTCATTAACTGATATCATAAAAGGGGATGATCATCTCATATTTGTTTTCAAATATTCAAAATAAAACAATGGATTCCTAAAAACAGTATGTGTGATTCTTTCTAAAATCATTTGAATCCTACTTAAAATCTAGTTTATTTCTTATTTTATAATGCTTATTTTTTCTTCTTTTGATGATAATTTCAAAAACTCTCAGAAAAATTGCAGGCACAGTACAAATATCATTTTTACTTAGTAGTTTGAGAGTAATTTGCTCACATGATATGCCATGAATACTTAGTACATAATTTTTTAATTTTATTGAGAAACAAATAGCAATGACAGTTTCAAAACTGATTAATAGGACAATGTGAATAATTAATATATTGTACATAACTATCTTCTTAGTGGTTATCCATAGTACAAGATGCAGACAGGATATCCTGTCCAAACACTATTAGTACAAATCCTTCTTCTTATTGAATTAAGCGAAAGTAGCTGTATATCTATCCTATTTTATATATACACATACAAAATGGTCCTTCCTTTGTATCCCCCCTTTTTTTGTTTAGTCCTGTCAGAGATGGGTATTCCATTGGCATCTAAATTAGTACATAATTTTTGAATAAAGACTTACACCTATCATTGCAACTACTAAAAAAAGGAAATTAATCTTAATACATTATCATTCTTATCATTTAATTGCAGACTCTATTCAAGTTTTACCAGTTGCACCAGTAATGTATTTTAGAGTGAAAAGATTCATTTTAGAATTATATACTATGTTTATTTTTTGGGTCCTTAGCATTCACAGTGCTCTTTCTTGATTTTGACTATTATCAAGACTACAGACAACTGATTTCTTGAATAACTCCCCTTGTGGACTTATGTTTAGACTCAAGTTACACATCTTTGGCAGAGATAACACTGAGGCTGAGTTCCTGTTGTGCTCCATCTAGGAACATTAAATCGATGGTTTGATGGAGGTGGCATCAAAGGACTAAGATGGACCCATAATCTTGGCTCATGGTATCACTGCTTCAAATGCACACTGCAGTTTGTACATACAGAATATTCCCTCGGGTATTTCACCAGTGAGGATGGGAATGGACAGAGGGATCTGAGAACCCCACTAAGACTGACACATACCTTTTCTTAACCTCTTTGCTCTGCTGTCTGAGGCAAGAGCAGGCTATCATATTTCTGTGGGTGCTGTACACCTGATGCTGGCTACAAGGAGCCTGGGCAAGGGTCAGGGAGGACTGACAGCTGAAGAGGCCAAGCCAGGAGTCAATGGCAAGCTTCAGTCATTGGAAGGGAAGCTCTTAAAATTCTTGGTGGATGCAGTGGTTTTGAAAAGGAAGAGAACTGGGAAGAATTTAAGCATTTAAGTTTGTAGAGTGAGGGCCAGATCCTCATTATGTTTTTCTCTGTACATTTCTATTTAATTGGGTAATTCATAAAAAGAAATATTATAGAAGAAAGTCAAAGTTTAAGACCGATGGCAGCATAAAGCATTTTCCATGCTCTGTCTCGCCCCCATTTTCCAGCCCAGCCCACAGGGATGCTTCTCTCTGGCAATGAACACAGGAATCTTTGTGGGTTTCACAGGCCTTGGCACTGCCAGCATTGACTCTTTGGTATGATGGCTTATTAGGGGCAATGGGGAAGAGCGAGGTAGGAAGGAGAGGGACCAGGAGAAGAAAGGGCATGAGGGACCATGAGCTGCCCCTGAGCCACCTGGGTTTGAGGTGGTGGTGAGCCTCTTACTGCCTGGGTGCCCTTGATAAAGTTCCCTGGCCTCCCCGTGCTTCCATTTCCTCCTCCATAAAATGTGACTGATAAGGGCTGGATCCAATGAGGTCAACCACAGGAAGAGTGCTTCCAAGTACAGTGGTACATAATAAACTCGGCACTTCTTGGTTACAATAATTATTTTCTATTATTTTTATTATTGCATCCTCAATATTAGTAGGGATCCTGGCATTTAACAAACATCTGGACAGATCAAATAAGTAAAAAGAAAAAAAAAATTCTCATGAGTCACACATTGCCATGATGTCTACTACTGACCGAACACAGGCTCTACCAATACAGCATTGCCTAAAGTCTGCTTGCAAGAGCTGAGGCACGACATGGGTTCTGAAACATTGACTGAAACAAATCTCACAGGAAGTGAGCTCCACACAGAGAAGGCAGTATCCCTCTGGTCATCTAAGCAGAAGATTCAGCTTCAATATTCGGCATCGAAAGGATACTCCACCAAACGTGACATACTGCAAAAGCAGGCAGAGAAACAACACTTTGGACACGCGCATCAATTGGGGTGAAGAACCCAGGGGTTCTTCTCTGCTGTCTTCTGCCTTCTTTCTGCTCCCTCAGCCTCTTCCTCCTCTTCAAAACTTTGTGAGCACATGAGAAGGGACTCACACCCAACCTTCCCTCCACCTGGTGAGGAGCTAAGGAGTGACCAGGGCACCAAGATAAGCTCATATCATTGTGAGCTGAGAGACAGGCCTGCAACTGCAGCCTGGTTGTCGCTGTGGGCAATAAGAATAGGAGAAGGATCCCTGATACCTTCTCAGGCCCCAAGGAGCTGGAACTCAGGAGGTGAAGCCAGATAAGCTTACTCCTGAGCTCACAAATTCCCAACTACTAACTGTTTGACTTCCTCTCCTTGGTATCTAGCAGTCATCACGAACATGTCTCAAGCTAACTCCTTGATTTCATCCTCTCAAAGGCAATTCCACTGATGTGTTATCCAGGCGAAAACAAAACCAAACAAACTAAAAGCCAGATTCGTCAATGACTGTTAATTTGTCTGCAAAACCAACTGGCTCTTTCCCCAGAGCCATGTTAAGTCTGATCATTCCTCATCTCCACCACCACCTCCACCTGGGTCCGCCCAGTCTCATCTCCTGGATTAGTGCAGCAGTCTCCCTGAAGTCTCTCAGTGCAGAAGTCCGTGTGGCTCTTTGAGAACATAAGTCAGATTATGCCACTGCTTCCTCTGGTGGCTTCTGAGCTCGTTCAAAGCTAGAATAAAAGTCCTTCCCGTGGTCTGTACCATTCTGCACACTCTGAGCCCTTCACATCTCTCCCTAATAATCCTCCTCCACTCTGCTCCATCCCCCGGCCACTTCACCCAAATGCTCTGAACACTGTGCCTGGGCCTTTTCCCTGGCTGCTCTCATAGCTAGGAGGGCTGTTCCTCCAAATGGCCACAGGGCACAGTCCTCATTCCCTTGAGTTTCTGCTCACTGATACTTCCACATCCAAACCCCCTCCAGCCCAACCCATCTATGCAGAGTAGGAGTCTCTCTGTGCTCCACTACTTCTTATCTTCTTCCCATTATATGTTTCTGCCCAGTGTTTGTTCCTATTTCACAACACTTTGAAGGACTAGTGTTAAGTGTGTGGAAGCAGGGACTTTGTACTATGCGATATCCTAAGCTCCTACAGTGTGCCAGCTCATGGCAGATTAATAATAAGTTATTGAGGGGATGAATGAATTAATGAACACCTGTGCCTCCCACATGCTGTTTCAGCTCTACATCCAGAAGTGCAACAGACAGCATATGAGAAAGTGTCTTTCTTTATAACAATTCCCCAAGGACTCTAATGTTCATTTTCAAAACAGCCAGAAAATAAAACTTAGAGGAAAAAAGCTAGACAGCTTCCCATCCTTCTAGCTAACCTTGCACCACTATGGAAAGACTGCTGTGGTCTTCCTGTTTATCCTGCACCACATACCCAGGTATAATACAAGACCTCCAGTTTCTGTTGAAGCTGAGGATGGTCGCCATCTCCTCATCACTCAACTTGAAGTCAAAGACCTGGAAAGATGAGTTCAAAATTATCCTTGGCAATGCATTTCCTGGTGGGAATTGCACAATTTGAGCAGGAAGTAACTCCCCCCCCACCCCGTGCCCATCCACAGCACACACTGCACAGGCTTTTCAGTCATGGTGTCTACTGCATACAAACTGTTCCCTTGATAGCCTTCTGCACACGTCTGTGTCACCACTGGGCATTGCTGATGGTTATGCATCCCCCCACCCCTGTCAACTGCTAGGCTAATGGAACTGAGATCAATGACTTGCAGATAAAATAATTGAGGCACAGTACTCATGAGGCTTGGTGTTGCAACAGGAGGAAGACCAGCCCTCTTGGGATTAAACTTCAGTGTGCACAGTGCCCGTGTTGCCTGAGGGCTACATGGATTCCTCCAGAAGAATTATTCTTTCAGTAGAGCCCCTTCATCCTCTGCTGCTGGGAGGAGGCTGTGGAGGAGAGCACAGTCTGCTTTTCTGTCCATGGCCTAACTGCTCAAGTGCTTTGAGATTTTCCTCAGCAGTAAAAGACCCTGCTGTGCTCATAGCTGACAAGGACTCTCTGGTCACTGCTGCCAGCCTTCCTCACCCCAGGCTTAGCTCTTTGGAGGGGAGCTCCCTGGCCTAAATTCTGACAACACCAAGGGAAGAGGGCAGGACCTATCCAGGGACAATGCAGGAATGCTCTAGGCAGCCCTGTCCCATATTCCTCTGTGGAACACCAGACAACCAGTCAGGATCTCACCTGAAAATTTTCAATAATGCGAGTTGGTGTCACAGACTTGGGGATCACTGCCACATTCCTCTGGATATGGAACCGGATCAGAACCTGTATAGGAAAGGGACAATGTGTTTTCTACCACTCATCTACAAGGACCCCTCCTAAAAAGAAGAAAAATAAACCAAACCTGTAGCTCACCATGTTGTTAAGTGCAATAGCTAATAGTCACTGAGTACCTACCTCACTGCTAGAGACACTTGGTGGTTTCTCTTATTTCCTCTAACCTGAGTTTCAACTGTATTACCTTTTCCCTTTTAGGAATGGAGGGTTGGTTGGGCTCATAAGCCTGAGACATGTATAGTTGGTACCCAAACCCATGTCTCGGTCTTGTGGCTTCCTGGAGAACTTGGCAGGATGCTGATGGACAGAGGCTATCCTGACTCACTGACACACATTCTGTCTCTTGGAATTCCCAATAGATTTCAAGGATGCATGTTTACTCTCTTCACGTTTTTTGTTTTCCCTCCAATGGTTAAGAAAAGTGAAGAGGACAAGGAATAAAACACAAGAGTATAAGAATGTACTGTGGGATTTAAAGAAAAAAAAAAAACAGACCACAAACATTGTACCTGGGCTGTGGTTTTTTTGTGCTTTGCAGCAATCTCCTTAATCTTGGGATCCTCTAGTAGTGAAGGGTCCTCTGGCTTGGCCCTGGAGACAAGAGAGAAGGCCTGTGTGTGAATAATCACCATGGTCACTAATGCAGAATGACTCACTCCTGCGACAGTAGAATGGCTGAAGGACACTATGTTCTTTTCCTGTGACACACACAGAAGGACCTGACAGCTATGTGGCCTTCCTGTGGAGCGGTCCATGGGCACTGGAGCCTCAGCACTTTGGTCCAGTGGGAGGGTCACAACTGGAGCATTCTCAGAGGGTTATGTATACTCTTTCTTTTTTATTAAATTATCATTTTCCCCACTATAATCCTACCTGGGTGTGCCAAGCACCCCGCCTGAGACAATGTTTTTCTTTCTGGTGCCTTTTTTGTTTTAAATATTAAGCCATTGCTAAACAATATTTTAAGCATATCTGGGGCCGGGGAGATGGCTCAGTGGAGTAAACACTTCTCTGGCAAGCATAAGGGCCTGAGTTCAATCCCCCGTTCCACAAAAAAAAAAAAAGAAATGGTTAAGCATATCTGGAGAAAGCCCCAACACTGGGAAGACTCACCAAGGTCTGTCTGGAGAACCCAGGGGGCTGTAGGCAGTGACAGTGATGCCCTTGGAGTGGCAGTACTGGATCAGCTTTTCCTGGGTGAGGTATGGGTGACACTCCACCTGCAACAGTGAACAATCTGCTTCAGTAAAGGCGGTGCCCTGATTTTGGGTTGCTCATGGGGAGCTCTACATGCCAAAATGACAACCATGACAGATCTAACACTGCCCATTGATTGCTAAATTAGACCTGGAGATGTTTCCCATTCCCAAGGCATCCTGATCCCTGGGCCCTCAGATGAGACTCAGTACACAGCACCGAAATTTCCTCCAAACACTTCAGAAGTAATAGGCCAGGACCCCCTTACCACACAGCATTTACCTGGTTTGTCACTGGTTTATATTTCAGCCCAGGCTTGTTCAAGAGCTTTTCAATCTGAAAGTGGTTGAAGTTGGAGACACCAAGGGCTTTGACCAATCCCTCATCAACCAGCTCCTCCATGACCTGTCATAGAAAGGAAACCTGGGAAGTTGAGGGGGGTGGGCAACAAGAACACTGGCTGGGCCTAGTGCTGAGAGAAAAGCAGATCAGAGATCTCCCGCAGGACAGTTAGCTGAAGCATTAGAAGGAAATTTCAATTCAATTACAGCTGCCCAACATTACTGTTGTTTCATTTGGAGCAATAGTAGGCAATGTAGCTAGACTGCACCTCTGTGAGGAGTGTGGGGAGCTGAAATCAGACCTGCTTTCCCCATGTCCAGTTAAAACTGAGAGCTGCTTATTCCCAAGGAAAGGTATCTTTTCATAATTTTTTAGCCCATAGTGAGAATGTTCTAACTGTGCCCAAAGAGATCGTGTCTGGTACCAGCAGTCCCAAGTCCCTCTTGTTTATTATTTATTATATATCTAGTTGCTTTGCAGGAGTGGTCAGCACATTAGAGTATAAAATGTGCTTCTAGCTTCTGAGAGTCACTCCAGTTGAAGTGCTAAGATCTCTAAGGAGCAGTCAGCTACACTGTTGAAGCTGCCCTCGGAGGATCTGATGGCTGCATAGCGTGAGAACCAGGGCAGGCAAACAGTGCTGGAATTCTCCTCTGATCTAGCAAGACTCTACAAATGGAGTAGAAATGGGGCCTGGAAACACCATGGAGAAGAAAGGTAAAATGCAAATGGGTTGGGAGGAAGGCAGGAGCCAAGGCTTGGAGACAGGGTGGGTAGGATGCCTTCAGGATACTTTATTCAGTCCTTCTTCACTGTGGCTGCAACTTGGAACCTCCTGAGAGCTTTAGAGCAGACTGGTGCCCTAGCAGCACTCTGAGACCCCTTACTGCCTTCACATGGAATGCAGTATAGGCTCTGGGATCTTTCAGACTCCTCTGGTGATGTCAATGCACAGCCAAAGTCAAGGAGCATGAGGGATAATAAGAACCTTAAGGGAAGGAACTTAGAATTGCTGGGATCGTGAGGTCTGCAGACTCCCTAGAGGGCCATGAGATGACATAAACGTTTTCTTGTACCATGGATCAAGTTTGGTTTGCGTGTTTGATTCATCTTGACTTCCTCATTCTTTCTCCAGCTCCTTTTTCTCTAGGCACTGAGGTTTCTCTTAAGTTAGTTATGAGATTGCAAAACATTCCACAATGACACAGTCAATCCTGCAGGGCTCCAACATAGCCTTTGCCCAGATCATAAAGTACTTTACTTAGCAATTATTCTTGGATTAGTTTAGAGGATCTACCGCAGCAGAAGTCAAGGACATTTTACAGACGACCATAGCATAAATGCCACACTAAAAGAGAATCATCACAAATGGAACAAGTAAAAATCTGATGCAATAAATACCAGACCCAGGCTAGTTTTCACAGCCCACCACAAATTATTGCTCAGATATTTAAGTGTTTGTTTTGCCTGAGTAATGCATGTGACAAAGCCCTCCTCCCAACTTAATGTCCTCAATTTAATAGAAGAATGAGAGCTGAAATCTGAGGCTATGTTGGGAGTCTTGCTCCAACTTTCACTGCTAGATCCTTGCACGTTAACCACTGTGTCATTAAACTGCATCTAATGAAGTGCTTTGTGGCAGGAAGACAAACGTGTATGTGTTTCTACAGCTTACTTCTAGAATTCAAGTTGCTTTTCTTTTTTGCTGTATTGAGGATTGCACTCAGAAACAAGGCCTTCTAGACAAGCTTTTGAGTCACTGAGCTCCCATGCCATGTCTTCTTATATTTTTATTCAAGGTCTTGCTAAATTGCCCATGCAAAGCCTGAATCTGTAATCTTCTTGCTCCAGATTCCTGAATAGCTGGGTTTACAGACCTTCTATTTTATCTTATCTATCTGTCTTATCATCTTTTTGTGCGCAGTACTTGGGGTTGAACTCAGGGCCTTGTACAGAAAACCATCCTGCAGGACTCTGATCATAGCCTTTGCTTTGATCATATATTTAAAGTGTATTATTAAGCATTTATTCTTCTATTAGTTCAGAGGATCTACCACAGGAGGAATGTGCTCTACCACTGAGCTACAGCCCCAGTCCACTTGTTTCTCCTTATGGCTGCTGTTTTGCTATTTACAAAGAGAAAGTAATATTTTTTTCTTGAAGGAAAGGTTTAGTATATTTATTTTTGTGACTATACCAAATGAGTATTTTTCATGCCTTGTGTGTTCATTAAAGCAAAAAGGGGAGCCGGGGAGATAGCTCAGTAGAATAAGCATTTGCCTAACAAGTGCAGGCTCTTGAGTTCAATCCCTGGTACTGAAAAAAAAAAAAAAAAAAAAAAAAGGCAAAAAGGGGCTGGCCAAATAGCTTAACAGATTAAAAGCGCCTTCAAGCAGACCCCAGGGGACATGGGGTTCAATGCCGGGCCTGCCTTGCTGGCCCCCGTCCCGGGCCCTGCTGAGACAGCAATTGAAACTGAGCTTGGTGGGGTGCGCCTGTGCTCCCAGCTCTTCAGAGGCTGTAAACAGGTGGATCACTACGAGACCCTGAACACCTATAGACCCTTTCCTAAAAATACAAAAAAAAAAAAAAAAAAAAAAAAAAAAAAAAAAAAAAAAAAAGAAAAAAAAAAAAAAAAAAAAAGCAAAAAGAATATGTGAATCTCAAATACAACCCCATAGCAGCTCCCAACGTGTAGTTTGAATTCTTTCAGCCAGGTGGCAGCTCATCCATTCATGGCGGTCTGCCGCTTTCTGCATATGAAGGTATGTGCAGACTTGACAAACTGAGACCCTCCTGAGACTTCCCTGAGAGTACTGGCCTACAGTCTCATGCTTATTTGATGATATTTTCACTAATCTATTTATTTAGTGTGGTTCTTTTTTTAAGAGAATACAAAAATGGCAAATCAGTTGCTAGTGTGGGTCTTAACTACATGTTTGTTATTTTTTAATTTATATTTTTTATTTATTTAATTTAATGTATTTAGTACAAAGTCTACAGGGTCTCACTATGCAGATCAAAGTCCTAGTGATTATCCTGTTTTCAGCCTCCCAAGTGCAGGAATTACAGGCATGCGCCACCACACCCAGCCTCAATCACTGGCTCAGCTCGCCCTCGGGGCAGGGCCAGCATGGCATGCCAGGGATCGAATCCCGGCCACTGTGCTCTGCCTAAGCAGGTACATATCTTATTTAAATTACTGCTCACTTTGGCCTGTAGATCCTAATAGCAAATGGCATGTTCAACATGTTTAATGGTAGTACTACAGAGGGGTCTTTATTGTTTTTAGTAGATTTGGAGGGTTTTGTTTTTTCCTTTATCATCCAATTAAGGCTTCAGGATAGTCTTTAAAATTCATCCCTAAAAGTTTGGATATTTTTTCTCATACTTACTGGTAACAGGCTTTCTGTTACTAGTGGAAAAGTTTACTGGGTTTTTTGCCAGGAAGAATCCCTTGCAAAATTTCCAGGTTTGCCAACCTTGCAATAAGGAGGGGATGGCTTTCCTGCTTCATTAACTTTTCCCTCAGGGCCTGGGAGATGGCTCAGTGGAATAAGCACTTCCCTGGCAAGCGCAAGGGCCTGAGTTCAATCCCTGGTTCCGCCAAAACAAAAACAAAAAATAATAGCTTTTCCCTCAGCAGTTTTGCTATGTAAATTTCCTCCTGTGAGTTGTTGAAGTCAAAGCAGAAAGAACACTGTGCTCGGGGAGACGAACTTTGGAATGACCAGTCCATAGGAAAGTTGCATTTAATTCAACCACGTCAAGCCCAAGCTTTTCCAAAATGACAGGCGTAGTACAGTTTCAGGTGGCAAAACGCAGGACTCTCTGTGCCCTCAACAGATAACTGACACAAGCGCACAATTAATTCTTGGAGTGTTTACATTCCTTCATTAAGACTTGTTGACTCTTCTATTTGTTTTATTCTCTACTAATATTTGCCAAAGTAGCAGCAGAAAAAATTTTTTTTAAAAGAAAGGAAATTATCACAAAAATTTCCCGGCCTTAACACGACTTTGAACCTGAATTATGTGAATCAGTCCATTATTTAATCTAAACATAGGGGCACTCTGGACCCTGCCATGTGGCTCTGCGTTCACTGTTTGCCAGGCAGGTGCTAAAGACCTTGGTGATAATGCTTGTGAGCCAGAGAGACCTAGATCCTGCAGCCAGTCTCAGCTGCACTACGCAGTCACTCCATAACCTGACAAGTCACTGACTTCTCTAGGCCCCAGTTTTATAATCTGTAAGTGGAATAACTAACACCCCCTCCCAGGGTTAGATGGTTAAGAAGGCACTATGAGTCAAGTTCTCGATGTGTTAGCTGTGTTAATCTTTACTACACCCCAAAGAATATGTATTATTGATATGTTTCATTTATTTTCACACAAGGAAACTAGACTGAGGCTTATGAAAACAAATGACTTACCTCAGGTCACTTAGCCGATACCTTCAAAACTAGACCCAGTGTTTCCCCATGATTTCAAAATGGCATGTGTGGCCCGGGGAGATAGCTCAGTAGAATAAGTGCTTGCCTGGCAAGCACAGGGTCCTGAGTTCAATCCCCGGTACCACCAAAAAAAAAAAAAAAAAAAAAAAATGGCATGTGTATCTTCCCAATGGGGTTCATTATATTTCAAGTCTTGTTTGAGGATTTAGTCTTTAAAATGTACATAGCATCAGGCAGACCCCAGATGCAAAGGTCATGAGGACAGGAAAGAACTGGAGAATAAAAGTGACCAAATCAGGGGCCGGGAAGATGGCTCAGTAGAATAAGCACTTCCCTGGCAAGCACAGGGTCTGATTTCAATGCCCAGTTCCGCAAAAACAAAAGTAACCAAATTAGACAAAAAGCTCATGGACTCTTATACCAGGATGGAATTTGAAGGGTCACTGAAAGAAAATTTTCTCTCCATGAATACTTAGAAGAAGCTCAAACTTACCTCCCATGCATCCAGGAATGTTATTTTACTGGAGAGGATATTGCCTTTATCATCTCTGGGGATGAGTTCCTTCCCAGCCTGTAAATGCAGAACCATAATAAGCCTATTGGAATCTTCATTGGACCACCTGATTCTGTCAAACAAGGCTTCAGGATCCTAACTTGTGTTAAACACCCACCTTGGGAGGCCCTGGAGAGCACCCTTGAAGGAAATGAGCTTCAGTGAAATCTCTGTGTTATCTACCTTAGTATTCAAACCTTTCCATCTTAGAAACTGCTAGATTGATTTTCAAGTGCATTGTTAGCCTATATTAGAATCTAGCATTATTGCAATTGATGTTAATGTCATATACCTAGGTTCCATATAAATGTGGGTACAACTTTTAATTTCTAGGCCTCTAGGTAAGGGTTAGATCTCAATGGTTATGTTTAGGGGACGCTATTAACCATATTCTACCTTTGCAGCCTCTAGAAGCCTGGATTAGCTGTGACAGGACAGGGCTGGGAATTCATGTCCCTCCTTCTCAGGAGCAAATAAGGAGCAAACCCCAAGCAATGAATTTGCTGCTTTTTCAGGACTGACAATCATCCAGCTTTAGTCATATTTTTCAGTGGCTTTAGAGACCTCAGGCAGTTTGCACGCAGAGGCTACTCCCAGGGTGTGCTTTGGCAACAGGAGGGTGGGGCCCTGACACAATGTTAGGAAAGAAGATCCAGAGTTTGCCTGGCAGGGACCACTGTGCAGGGAATCTTCACAAAGGCAATATGGCAGCTGCAGCTTCTCTGGGATGTCCCAGGTCTGTCTACCTCAGACATTTCCACAAGGAGAGGCACAGACACAAGCTCCCTCCCAGCCCAGTATTTTGCTGGTCTGCATAGGAACTCCTGCTTATCTTATCCCATGTTTCAGCCCTGGTGCAGCTGCTATTTTACGCTGTCTTTTTGGCTCAGTGGCCTGCGATTGGGGCGGGGAGTAACTCAAACCTGAAGTCCCTGTGGAAAGTGAATGAGGTAGATGTCCAGGTAGTCCAGTTTCAGGTCCTTCAGGGTCTTCCGGCAGGCTTCCCTCACCAGGCTCCTCTCAAAGAATGTGGACCACAGCTGCAGAGTGCACGAAGGAGGCATCAGGATGGGAGAGAGAAAGCCACACAGAACTCTCCCTCCCCACTTTGAGACTTGCAGCCTCATCTAACCTGACAATAGGCCATTAACATCAAAGCTCAAGGTACAGGATGCAGTAGACAGGCAACCAGTGCTCAGCACATCACTGATATTTGTAAGTACTGAAGGCAATTTACCCTTTTAACACTTAGTATCCTACCTGTTTCTTTAGTTACTTAGTGTAGGAGGCCACTGATTAAAGATTTATGTACCTGAATTATTCCTTTTTCTGGCTTCTAGCTCTCTGAGGGCAGGAACTGTGTGTAGCTTTTTACATCTTATTTATGCCCTTGGGAGCAGATGGCCCTTTTATGTACCCTCAGTATTCCAAATCTACCAGGTCCCAAGTGATGACTTTACAAGGAGTTTATCCAGGTGTGGCCATGGTATACCTGTTCCACCAGATGCACTTTCCAAGTTCCTAAGTTCTCAGCTTGTGAGCGAGTCCCGTTACTGAACATTTGTAAGTTGATTCATCTATAATCTGACAAAGTGAGTGTTCTGCAGAACACCTGTGAGTCTCCTACAGTACACCTGCGAGTATCCTACCCTTTACCTGTGAGTGTCCTACAGTACACCTGTGCATCTCCAATAGTACAGCTGTGCATCTCCAACTATATACCTGAGTCTTCTACAGTATACCTGTGCATCTCTTACCCCTACCCCTGTGAGTCTTCTACAGTACACCTGTGAGTGTCCTACAGTACACCTGTGAGTGTCCTACATTACACCTGTGCATCTCCTACCCTACCCCTGTGAGTCTCCTACAGTACATCTGTGAAAATTCAGTTTGTTTCACATCTCATGTTTCTAAGTCAGAGACTTGCTGTAGCTAAAATTAAGGTCTCTTAGTGAGTTGTGTATAATACAGGTCCAGTGATTCTCAACCATCTCACACATTCCAAACCTCCTCAGATCCAACACCCCCATTTCATGTTTAAATCTTATTTTATAACTTTTGCCAAGTTGAAAAGGAAATGAAAACTGCTTCCATAATTTTCCAAAATACCCGTGGCTGAGAGCTCAGCATTGTGACCACAGTGTTGAATGGTGACTGGGTCCCATCCCTGATTTCAACCTTTGTCTCTGGCTGCCACAGTAAAGGTGGATCCCACTGAAGATACATGGAGCAGCCCAGGCAGCAGAGACTCAGTGGAGCCATTTGCATTAAGAGAAGGTCAACTGTAGACAAGATGGGAGCGGCAGCATTTTCCACATACCAAGCTTGGGTGTGGATGCTTGTATTCAGGCATGGGATAAAGCAAGAGTTAGAGACAGGAGCACACAAGCAAAGTCAGTGAGGTCTTGGAGTCAACCACCACGTCCAGATACTTTGGCCTGCTACGAAGTCAAGGCCTACCCCATGTGGGCCACAAGCACCTTGCTAACAATGAAGAGGTCCTCCCGCCTCACGAGCTTCTCTTGAATCTTCTCTTGGATGGCTTCTCCCACCTCATTCTCATTCTGATATGTGTAGGCACAGTCGATGTGGCGATACCCTGCATCGATGGCTGCCTTCACGGCTTCTTTGACCTTGCCTGGGGGAGACTGAAAGGCAATCGATAAATTGATAAAACCATCAGGCACTTTTATCCAAAGACCCATCCATCAAGGTGGATACAGCCCATTGTCTCCAAACTGAGGCTCACCGGGTTCCATTTGCCAATGGAGAACTGAAAGGCAAACACTTTGGAAAACTTTTCAAAGGAAAAGAAAAAGAACATAAAGCTATGCTTAAGAGCTCATGTCTTATTTTTGAAAAAAGTCAATCCCCTCTAACGCAAACAAACCTTCCACATCGCCAGTAGGTCAGGAGTGGCGGACCACTTCCCCTGCATTAGATAGATATGTTATGGACAGACAGACAGGGCTGGGCCCTCAAGGAAACACTAAGGAAAACAAGAAGACTTTGCAACTTTGGGACAGACAGGCACCCCTACTGTGGGCCAGACCACAAGACAAAAGATCAAAGAAATGCATACCTCCCTAAAGACAGGCATCAGGGATTGATATTCTAAGTAGGTCTCTCACCTTGAGGAAGCCAGGAAAAGTCACTGACCCAGCCCCCTACAGGAAAACCCCCAGCTCTGTATTCATGCCTACTTGCTACAAGACTCACTTTCCCATTTGGTCCTGGATTTAATCAGTTTTACCTGAGCAATTGTGCTGTAATCTCATAGGTTGACCATAGTTTGTCCCACCTCATGCCCATCTAAGTGAGTTCCCATGTTTTCCACCTTGTACCTACCTTACCACATGGTTTTCACACTATAAAAATCCCTGGAAGAAACAGATTCCAGGGCAAAAATCTATGGTCCCCCTTCTGTCCCTCTCTGACAGGAACTTTCTTTTCCCCTATAAATATATTCTGCTCTTAACCTCCAATTGTGAAACTCATTCTTTGACTTTAGAGAACATGAACTCAGCCAGGGGTCTCTCAGTTTGGGAGTTTCATTCTCCTGTATCACCAGGGTGAATCCAAGCTCTATCTCACAGCATATGTGTGATAGACAGGCCTGAGCAGACTCCATCTCCCCAACCCCACCTGCAAAATAGGACTAAGAGCCCTGGCCTCAAGAAGTCCTTATGATGATCACTTCCCACAATGAATATGCAGTTTTCTCATCTCACATGACCTCCAGCAAGGCTCAATAAATGCAATCACCATAGCATTATTGTTTCTGAACTCAGACTCCCTCAAGGAAAAAAAAAAAAGAAGAAGAAAGAAGAAGGAAGAAGAGGAGGAGGAGGAGGAGGAGGGAGGAGGAGGAGGAAGAGGAAGAAGACGAAGACGAAGACGAAGACGAAGACGAAGACGAAGACGAAGACGAAGACGAAGAAGAAGAAGAAGAAGAAGAAGAAGAAGAAGAAGAAGAAGAAGAAAAGAAGAAGAGGAGGAGGAGGAAGAGGAAGAAGAAGAGGAAGAGGAAGAAGAGGAAGAAAGGAGAAGGAGAAGGAGAAGGAGAAGGAGAAGAAGAAGAAGAAGAAGAAGAAGAAGAAGAAGAAGAAGAAGAAGAAGAAGAAGAAGAAGAAGAAGAAG